TATACACCATTTACAACTCCGACATCCCACATCCCCCCAACACCAACATATACTTATACGCCGACGACCTGACAATCACATCCCAATCCGTAGATCCTAGATATTCCGTCTCCCTCCTCCAAACCTCCTTAGACCAACTTGAAACCAGGTGCAACAGGTGGAAAGTCAAAATTAATCCCAACAAAAGTTCGGCTATCCTTTTTACCAAACGAAAAATCCCACAAAATCTCGACAGACTGACCTATCCCAGGAACCCATCTCCTGGAATCGACAAACACGATACCTGGGCGTGACGATGGATCAGCGTCTCACGTGGAAACCGCACATCCTGGAGACGGTAGCGCGAGCGAAGACCACCAGGGCTAGGCTCTATCCCTTACTCAAAGGTGGAAACACCCTCAGTTTAAGGAATAAGCGAACGCTTATCAAGGTGGTACTTCAATCGCAGCTAACCTACACCTCCACGGCGTGGGGTCACGCGGCAAAAAGCCACTTAAAGTCATTACAGGCTGTGGAAAACATAGCCCTCCGCACGGCCACCGACGCGCCCTGGTACGTAAGAAACTCTGAAATATTACGAGACTTACAATGCACAAACGCTACACAGAGAATAAGACAAAACGCGGAGAAACGGTTTGACGTAGCCGCTAGACATGACAATCCCCTCCTCAGGCAAGCCGTTGACTACGTACCCGACGTGACTGACAAACACAAAAGACCTAGACACCAACTTTTTGACCCTGGGTGACCACCCCAACGACATCCCCCCCTCCTGCTCGCTAACCTTTTCTGTTTCAGAGAGCGCCAGGATCAAGAAACGAAGACCACGACACACACACACACACACATACACCCCCCCATACCATTCTTACCTCTCCCTTCCCGCGCTAGCCTAAGGGCCACCTTAGCAAAGCGCAACCCAGGCTGCATAGCCGCACCACCCTACCCAACCATAAACAAGACACCACCCCCGGGGTTTTACACAGATGAGCCGGCGAAGCAAGAAGAGCGCCAGAAGAAAGGGCCCTAGCCGGCGGGGAACAGCCAGGACAAAAGAAGGTCCCACAAAGCGCCTACACTGGCCGCATTTGCGGTCGGGGTTGACAACGGATGGGGCCCACCTACGAAGGTTATCCAGGCCTACACGAGATGAGGCAGGATAAAGAGGGATAATTCCCCTAGATCCCAAATCATTGAGGCCAATTTCTAGCCATGGAATAATGGCGCGGCGCGATCCCAAATAATTGAGGCCAATTTCTAGCATGGAATATTGGCGCGGTTATTAATGTTGCATACAAAGAAACAATTCTATTCACAAACTTTATATTTTCAGTTAAACCTGTTTTCTAAACACAAACAAAATGAAAAGTTGACGGATAAAAAACAATCTTTTAACAATATGAATGTTTAGACATAATAAATAAATAATAAATATTTTTCGTTTGTGTGTAAACAAACATAACACTTTTCTCTATATTTAATAAGAAAACTTGCTCAATTATATTTACTTACCTTTTTGCCAAAACTTTCCAATATATTTGTCATACTTACTACAAATACATAATATAACCAAAAAAAAAACGTCATGCTAAACAACTTTCAGTGTGGAAAAGTTAGTGAAAAATTTAAAGACTCTAGATTTTACAGAGTGAAAAAACTTGTAACAAACATAACAAACTTAAAGTTACTTCCTTTTCCTCACCCCGTTCTTCGTGTGTCTGGACAAGCTCCATCCCCTCCCTGTTGCGAATCTGGCAATGCTAGTTGCCATAGAAAATGGAATATTAACATAGAATGAAATCTGATATACATACAACACCCTATACCATTTGCATACCTAACATTCCACTGTAACTTCGTCTTCCATATCGTAAGATGGTGCTATTTAGGTTTTGTGATTTCAAACGCAGGTAATGCAGGTATCATTTTGTTTTGATTTTGACCCTTGTTTATGTCCTAGATAAATGATACTATAGATGCCGCCGCCGCCATTATTCTATGGCTAGAAATTGGCCTCAATGATTTGGGATCGAGGGGGATTATCCCTCTTTATCCTGCCTCATCTCGTGTAGGCCTGGACAGCCTTCGTAGGTGGGCCCCATCCGTCGTCTACCCCGACCGCAAATGCGGCCGGTGTAGGCGCTTTGTGGGACCTCCTTTTGTCCTGGCTGGGCCCCGCCGGCTAGGGCCCTTTCTTCTGGCGCTCTTCTTGCTTCGCCGGCTCGTCTGTGTAAACCCCGGGGGTAGTGTCATGTTTATG